TGTTCTTGTTGCTGAATTTGTTTAAGAGATGTTTAAGGTAGATGTTGTTTTCATGAAAAAGGGGAGAAATTATTCTGAACTACTATAGTAAAAAGGACTACAGGGACATACCTTAGCCAGATGAGACAATAATCTCTCCATGAATCTTGACTGACAGTAAATGTTTCCTTGTTGCTGCATGTCCTGAATACAATAGCATAATTTAGCATTGTTGCTAACCAGGATCTTCCCCTCCTGGATGCAGTTTCCCCTTTTCCAATTGAGTTTTTCAGTGAGGAAAATGCAACACGATGTCAGGATGCGTGGAAAAGGTAGGACCCAAATGCAGAATTTAACAAAAAGCAAGCTTTATTAAATCATAAAAGCTGTGGCAAAAAGGCAGTATCCAAAATAACAAACGAGCAACACAAGGAACACGGACCGTGGAAACATGGAGGGGAAACAATGAACCGACATGGAACACAGGGGAAGACTAAATACACAGAAGGGTAATCACAGGACAAGACACAGCTGGGCAGGGGAGGGAGAAACACAAGGGCAACAGGTGAACACAATGTGACAATCACACACCAGGGAAACTAACGACAGGGAGGAGGACCAGACAAAACACAAGGAGGAAGACAAAACACCGAATGAACAGACTTACAAAACCCATAACCAGACAGACAACACTAAAACCGTGACATAAACCTAGGAGTGTGACACACGACAGTGACTTATGTTTACTCCATTGGTCTCCCCAGATGCTGGATCTCTACCAAACAGATAACCATTGGGCTGAGTGACAATGATTGAAGAATCTGCAGCAAACGTGTGGCATCAACTCCGATGATGGACCAAGATTATTGTGTTCCAGCTCTTTGTGAAATCTTGTTCTTGAAGGATCTGCCATGAATCAAGTGAGGATGAGTAATGTGTCACCTTAACATGACGGACAATTGGCAGACCACTGCTAGATAAACATTTCATATTTGTTTTTTACGAGTGATTTAGGTTTGTAAGTCGACTTAAAACAACCTCTGTTTCAGCTTCGTATTGACTTGCCCATTTTTGGTTACATGGATGTAACCAACTAGCGAGCTTGCAATTAAAGTCGAGGACATACTGGGCTCTGATTGGTCATATTTTGTTCTCCAACTGTTGGAAACAGTCAGCATGGCCACAATAGCAGACCTAATGTAGATCTGCTGGACATTTCCAGAGGCGTAGCTGGGGTTTTAGATGTTTGAAAACAATTTAATTTACATACAGTTAAGAGTAATCTTCAATGTTAACAAAACACGACCCCTTAAGGAAATAACGTCACAGTATGGACACACACGTTTTCAGTAAAGGTATATCATTGTTTTACTATATTTCAAAAAAGTGTGAACTGCAGTAATATTTGCACAAATCAATTGCATTTATTTACATGGGCATGATCATAGGATACAATTTGACTCATGATCACTTGAACAAACAAATCTGTTGAAGTTGATCAATCTGTGTTCACATGATTTGTATGAACTTTATGAATTAACCAGAACGACCTAAATGTACAAGTGACAGGTGTGATTTTCAGATATTTAATCTGTGCATTCATTAAAAAAATTAACTGTTTTGTTTCAGGGTGTTTGGATAGCCATGGCTGCAACATAAGACAAAACAAAAGAAAAGCAAAGAAAAAGTACACAGTTCTATTTTCCAGCCAGTCAAAGCCAGACAAAATCAGATTGTTTTCAAATGGGAGTCAGTGACAGTCGACTGTGTTTTGCAGTGTGTCTAGCCTCCGGTATCTGCACGTAGAACGAGGGTCACAAAGGATACACCAATTGTGTCCTTCAAATGCAGGCGAAAGCGGGACCCAATCCTCAGGCTGCATTCCTTTGGAAGGGGACAGCCTTGTCATGTTTGGTTTTGAAACACAGACTTCAAAGGATGCAGCCAACGAATTGGGCCACCGTGAATCGGTGCAGCCCCAACTCTGATGCACATGTGGTAGACTGTTCATCATAACTAATTGTGTTCACAAAATGCAGAGCCCTCACCTATCGTTATTCGTTTTATGCCGTGGCTTGATTAAGCATGTCTGTACATGAATAGGCTCAGTCACAGATTTTTTGTCTGTATGGCCATCAAGGGAGAGCTCACCGTCCCTTGATGTGTTTATATATTAATCATGAATATGGAGGACAATACAGTCTGAGATCCCATGTCTAATTTCAACTGACGTCCCTGAATGCTTGGACAGAGCCTGTGTGGAGAGGCTGTCTGTGCTACCCTGCAGAAACAGTCCAATTTATGTAACTGTCTATGAGGGTTATGGCAAGGAAACCTTTGATATTGCAATGGTAATTTTTAGGATGCTATCTCTTGATCGTCTCTCCTTCTCACTGCATCTTTTTTCTCTCTGGCTTCCATTTAATTTTATTCGGGATCATCAATTAATTACGATGGATTGTTATTGTTTGTTTCCCCTCGCAAACAAGATTATGCGTTGCTGCTGTGTCAGCTGGGGCTTGGAAAAAGAAGCTCTTAATCTCATCTGGATCAGCTGGTGTAAATAAGAGTTAATAAAAATGGTTCTAGCTGTTGTGGAGCAAGCTGAGCTTCTACGTTTACACCAGACTCCTGCAGAAACGTTAACTAATGCAGAAAGAGCGTTTACCTAAGTGAAGTCAATCTTTCAAATAACTGGTTTGACATTGGTTGAAATGTGAAATATTTGATCATGGGGAAGTTTGTAAAGGAGGACGCAACGCTAATTTTATACAGAAGTTAGTGAATAGTTAAATAGACATACTGTATAATACCCTGCTGACGGATTGAAAAAACAAGACAAATATAGAACATCTTTGGTCTGATCTACATTTTAAATCTTACCAGACCAGTTTTTTTAATTAAATACACATCACTAATACTTTTCTCTAACTATCCCTCCTCTGCAGGTCATAATAATTATGATGCATGTTATTTATTTATATAGCGCTCTTCCTTGTGCTCAAAGCGATTGAAGGTACATCTCAAATATAATTATATGGGTAACATCAATAATTATTTGAAAATACAGTGAGCATGCAGACCTTTAATTGAAATTCCTGTCCAAATTAAAACATCCCCATATTTAGAATTGTTATACAATCTTAGTCTCTTAGATATGAAAATAAAAAAAACATTCAGATCTCTTATTTGTCTTATTAAACCCAGGTGTTCATTTTGCTATCACATAAGAAAACCAATCAATAAAGCTTGTGCTAGGCAATCTTTGACATTCATTCTTTAAACAATAATGTTTTTCATGATGTTTTCTCATTACATATTAAATTATATTACATATTTTATTTCCTTCACACAATGAAATATACAGGAGCCTGGGTGACCTTCAAGATAACTAACCTTTATGTATTATTAACAACAACTCATAGGTAGTGGGTAGTATCTAAAGGTAAGAACCCGTTAGAGCTGTGTTTAATGTCTACCTGGCAACAGATCCTGTCATCACACGGATGCCACTCGACTCTTATTAAATCCGCTGCAGTGAAATTGTTTCCTCCTCCTTGTACTAGCACAGCCAAGGTCACTACAAAGAACAAAACAGGGTAACCTTGTCAAACTAAGCTGTTTGCGTCCCCAGAGTGTACTTGATTAAACCAACACCAGGGTTAACAAAGTTACTTTAGAACTGTTATAAATCACACATGTAGGTCAGAAAACAGGCGAGATCTTCAAGCATAGTAACATGTTAAATGTCATGTCATGATGTTTATATGATCTATTTTTTATTAGGTGTTTATTTTCCTTCTTATTTTAAACAGTGGGCAGTGGAGGAAAGTAGGGAATGGGAAACGTTTTCTAAATGAAATATATATTTAACAGTTAAAGCTCTGTGATCAAGTTTCCATCTTATAATTATGTACAGTCTCACATCAGAGAACTGACGGTGAAAAAAGGTAAAGAGAGAAGGTAGAGATTTAAATTATAACACATATACGGTGTATATATAATTTTCACATCACAATGAGTCACTTCTTTCAACAGTTAATTAGTCTTTTCATCATCTCTAACAAAAGGCCATTCGAAACACCTGCGCAAATTAACTCTGCTTTAACTCACTTCCTCTTTAAAGATGGCAAAAATCTTAAATAATTATTTAATTCATCAACAATACATTGATAATCTCATGCAACAATACAGCCACCTGCTGAAGGCCTCGATTCAACCTTGACTCGATCTTTCATTACGTTACACTGTGTTGCTATGACTTATTGCCAAACATGTCTGTTCTCTACAAGGTCGGCAACAAAAGATTATTTTCATTATTGATAATATTTCTGATTAACTGCTTGATCTATAAAATGTGAGAAAATAATTAAACATGTCCATCGCAGTGTAGATGAAAGTCAGAGATCATGTATTTTTAAACTGTTTATGATTGAAGCAACAGACATGTTTATAAACTTAAACATGATAACAGGTTATTATTTTGTGTTTCATATTTTGGTGTTGGAGTAACACTTCTGTTTACATGTGGTAGTTACTTTCAATTGTATGAATACCTAAGTGTGATGCAAGATACTTTAACAGTTTTGCACAGTTACCTGGTAACCTTGAGGAAAATGAGTGCTTTGCTTTTTATTTGGTATTGTGCATAAACATTCTAACATGCCTGCAGAGTGACAGCATTCCACCCCAAATCCATTTGACTTTAATTAAGCATATGAAGGTCGACAACATTACAGTACATTTGTGTTCACAGTTTTGCAGGAATACTTCATACTTGCATTGTGTATGGAAAAGCTAACTATAGGGGGGTAAAGTTAATGGTGTGTGTTGTATTTTTCACACAGATCTGAGGAAGTAGTTCATCAGATGCATATTGCTTTGGAGCAGTTTTGCCAAACAGTAAAATGTCTGAACAGCTGGCGACTCACAGCGCACCGCCTGGCGCCCACAGCTCTGCAGGCTGATAAGTGCTCTGAGAGAGGTGGGGGGGAGATTCATTCAGGGCTGAGACTCGCCATAACCTCAACAGCCCAGAGAGCTGTAAAGTTAAATTAAAGAAACACCGCCCTGGTGATCTAGATCATTAATAACACAGTTTATGTTGCAGCTTTATGCGCTCTGGTGACATCAGGCGCACAACAGAAGGTACGCGCACATGGGCGAACATTTGAGTCAGTGACCGAAGAAAAAACTTTGAGAAAGTCGACACAGCGACAGAGGAATAAGAGGAAGCTGCAATGTCTAATTCGGTTTCCTATCCCGGGAAGACACGGAGGTCTTCTGCTGTGGCACGTGCAAACAAACCTCCGGATTTAGAGCTGTCGCAAACTCCTTTCACCTCACCTGAACCGGAGACACATGTGGGCAACGACACGTTTTCTGAAAGAGAGACAATGCAAGAGGATGGTAACTCTTCAACAAATGTACCAACTGTTCACCTCCACCCGTACCTATCTCATCCCCGGATGTCTGTGCGGATGTCGGTGTACAGTACCGGGGTTCGTCCAGTCGTCACCCGTGCCTACATCCAAGGACGTGTGTATAACTTCCTGGAAAGGCCGTCTGGCTGGAAATGCTTCGTGTATCATTTCACAGTGTGAGTATGTTTTTAAAATTTTCATAATCATCCAGATCCATGGGGTATTCAAGGGTATAATTGCAACTGTAAAATCTTAATTAAACAGGGAGTTAATTGCGCATGTAGAGCCTTGGAAGCTCTCCTTACAAATAACTGTTAATCCTGTGAATTTGAGAAAGATGCTGCAAAGATATCATAACACAACTTCCCGCTAGAAATATCATAAGGAAATGTAACTCTAGCCATAGCAGATAAACAACCGGAATATAAATTAATGACAGACAAGAGGAACACAGAAAATAAGCTCTCACAGGAACACTAAAGGAATATAACATTGATCTTTCATTTGGGAGCCTACTATCCATTTAATTTTCCAAAACCGTTTGAATACAAAAACACAGAGCTGGGTCTGGTGCTCATTCACTAAATTGTTAAATTTGAAATTAGTTTCTTTTTTTCCTTCCTGACTGTATGTGAGACTAACTGGTTTAATGAAAATGAAACATAAATAATAATGAAAATATATCCACTGTGGGATGGATTGTATCTGCTAAAGCTCCAATATCATGAATATGTCACATTATGGTGAATTGATGTGGCAGTTTTGTCAGGTAGCTTTAAAACCTGTCCTTTTCTGACAAATGAAATGTTACTCATGACAAGCAGCTCTCTTTACTCCACTGATGTAATGCCAAAAGATACATTTCACAATTTTTCTTTTTTCGTATAAACCACAGTCAGGAAAGTGACAGTCCAATAGATCCAGTGTTCAGGCAGAGGTTTAGGAATGTGGGCTGTGATCTACCAGCTCACCCCCATGTGTGCTGTCTGTCCCCACTTGCTGGCACTGATAGCAGGCAGCTAAACTTGGCAGTGTGTGTGTGCTGGGGAGGAGGTAGCAGCCCTGTATGGCGCTGCCACCCTGTGACCCTGCAGTGTTGGAGGGGACACAGGCTGTCGGAGCGGGTTAGAGTCTTGGTGACTCAAAGGGAGCATGAGCCAACACAGTGCAGCGCAATAACAAGAAGCTAGTGACTGCTTTGTTTAGGCATCAACTTTCATTATATTATATTACAATACTCTTCATGAGGTTCAAACCAGCAAGGGCGAGGTGCTTTAACCTTCCTGTAATGGCCACTGCAATCCTGATTCCAAGAAGATTCAGACTGCATGTAATGACAGGAAACCCCACAAGCATTAAAGAAGTGGCTGAGCCCTTTAGTTTTCAAAGTATAGTTTTGAGTTTGCAATTTTAGCTGTCGCCATCTTGTTTGTTTTTGGAATCAGATTGCCAGATGTGCCCAAGAAGAAATTGTTTGGCAGCCTGAATTGTACAATTTATTTTCATGGCCTGAAAACACACTGTAAATGGTTTAAAGGTAAAAACATTAAGAACCCAAATCAGACCTCACAGGTATCAAACCTGTCCTTCGCAGGGCGGCCCTGTCCTAAAGCATATGCCTCTTTATTGTCCATTGTACTGTAAATGGGACCATCATTTACAAAACCACCATGCTGCTGTATTGAAGAATACTTGAAATAAGTGATTGAGACCATAAACTCAAAAGAAAATAACATACAGAGATGATCATTCAAGTTAGAAGAGGGGTCATTTTCTCATAGACTTCTATACCATCAGACATCTTTTGATAAACAGTGGATTAGCCCCCTAGGAATTGTTTTCTCTACAGTGTGTTATTAAAACTGGACAGGTGACAAACTGTTAAACAATTTGTGAGAGGGATGCCGCACTAAGTTGTTTGTGTTTCTATCGGCTGGCTCTGTACACATGGTCAAAGTTGAATCATGGTTATCATCAACATTTAAGTCCACTGCAGCCAGCGAGGAGATTGCACCAAATAAGGAAGCGCATCCTTGAATGTGTCTGTTGTGTGGGCTTCAATTGACGTGAGTGGGAGACAATATTTGCACAGAAGTGAAATGTGATCGTACCTTTACTGAAAAGGTTTGACAGGAAGCTGTACACCCAAATCCAGGCTTTAAAAACATATACCTTTTAGAAACTTTCAGTATATTCTGAAGTGTCAGACTCAGCAGTACTCAGAGTTTGAGTTATGTTATATTTCACTAGGTTGAGTGGATTTAGCTTAAATCAAACTCTCTAAATTCTGTAATAAAGAAGGTGTTTGTTTTAAGAGCATGTTGCCAGCAGGGTTTTCGGATAACTTCGGTACCTTGTTTTGAAAATGTTTGAGTGGGAGCAGTTAAGAGCAAGCACAGCCTTATCATTGACCCAAAACATGAACGTCATGATCAGAGTCCTTATCAGAGGTACTCCTATGTCTGTGTTTGAACATGCATACGTTTGTCAGTTTGTGCGGGTGGCTGCTTCTGTGTGTTTACACAACCTCAGGTCGGTTTTGGTGAAAAAGAAAGCAAGAGTGTAGTTGACTGGAAAGAAGAATTGTATATATTTAGCTCTATCCAATTAAAAAAAAAAGTATATCCCATGCTCTCGGTGGGTGCCTGTCTGCAGTGTGCGGCAGAGTAAACGCAGTGTATATTGGTTTTAAACAGCATGAGTCCATCCCACATGCTGGTTATAGATGAGTGGATCAGAGGAGTTGGGAGAAACCAAATTCAGAAAGCATTTTTCAACCTCTGCGGCATTAAACTGATCCAGATATTCGGTCAAACAGCATCAAGCTAGAGGTAATCAACACTGGCACAATTTTTTTTATGATTTAACAAACCAGCTAACAGTCTATGTCCTGTTTTTCTTTTCAAAATGAGGAACATCTTTGACTCAAGCTGCTTTGTATTCCTTGCTGTAGTTTAGTGTATGGGGAAAAGGCTTTCATACTTTTATCTTTTGCTTTCTTTAACAAAACGCAGGAGCTCAGATTGTTAAAGGAGCATACAAGGTCACTTGTTGGTGACTGCCTTATAAATATCTCTGAAGTTTTAACCCAATAACAGCTAAAGTTTCTGAAAAAGGCTTCTATTGTCTGTCAAAATTACATAAAATAATCACTTTAATACATTGGAAGTTTATCTTCTATCAAAGTATTTATCTAAACATTTGCGTTGTGTTCCATTGCTTTTGTTTGATCTATCTTTTGTCGTATATTAATATGCTAAGTCACTCACTGTGATACAAATAAAGTTTGATTGTTGTTCCAAACAGGATATTTGAGGTTGACAGCCAGTGACATGGTCAGCAGCGTCACTACTAACTCTTATCCTGTCCCCTGCGTTGCCTTCACACTCACTGCACAACGGACTGCAAGTGAATCTGTCCATCAATAATAGATAGGAGCAATTCTTTGAGCTTTGGTTTGTAATTCAGTGGGGCCTATGTAGCTCCGCCTATGTATTGTTTTGTCTATTGCTCCACAAAGGCCACTGGAGGTAAAAAGTGAAATATGATGGTGCAGTTAGTAGAGAAGAACTGACGAGTCGGATCGTCTCAGATGGATTCAAAGAGAAGCAGAAGTGTAGGCTCAGCATACTGAGTGTGTATGTTTACTGGCATTTCAAATGCCCTGAAATAATTCAGGCAGAGCTTCGCTGACAAATTGCAGTCATTAGCATAGCATAGTGTTTGCTTGGAAAGTTTGATGTTCATTTGTTTTTCTTTTGATCTTCTTTTCAACTTGTTCTGTCTTATTTGAACATAAGATTTCCTAAATTATACTGCGTCCTCACTTATTTTTTTGTTTAAGCTCTATGTGCCCTGCTCTTTGTAATAGACACATTTGTTACCATTTAAACAAATAGCAGACCGTGGTTATTTTGCCAAAGACACTGTTAACTACAAATTAGTTTTTCTCACGAATGACAAAGAATAAACAATGTTCCCACATCCACAGACCCTTCAAACTAACCGAATAACAAAACATAACGCCAACAATTACGAATTACTTTCAAATAAAGATAGGGAAAACAACACAGGAAAATAAGAAGAAAATAAAAAATACATAGCGACAACCAGACGACCCAAAATGATATATATATAAAGAAAATTGAAATATAGAATATATTATTCTCAATGACATTCCTTAAGTTACATATTTTTAAAGTAAACTATAAGATTGTTAACTACAGAGTCATATTGCCGTGGTTGTATTGTCTACTTTATCTGTTCCTTCAAACAGAAGCAGCTGCTTTGTTAGCCTCAAAACACGCAAGTCCATCTTCCCTGAGCAGGTCTCCCTGCGGTCTTTTATCTGTGTGTGTGTGTGTGTGTGTGTGTGTGTGTGTGTGTGTGTGTGTGTGTGTGTGTGTGTGTGTGTGTGTGTGTGTTAAAAGGGGGGTATTTGGATTCCTGGCCTGTCTTCAATAAACTCAGGCTGTAGCATGTGGTGATAAGCCTCCATGGTGCAAACACTGACTGGAAACTAAAACTCCCTCTACACATATTTTCCATCAAGTTATCTCATATAGGAGCAAGACAGGGATTCTGTAAGGGCTGTTTTTTGAACAATAGCTTGAAACAATATCGACGATGAGCAAATACTTCAAACACTGTGCTGTATTTTCAAGATATGCCAATGTCTTTTTTACAAACCAGTACCACTCACACAAGAGCACTTGCCTTTTTATCTGCCATGTCCTTGGTCAATGTTGTTCCTTATTTCCTTTTACCTTTAAATCATATTTTCTAAAATAAATTAAAAGTTAACAACTAAATATAAACCCATTTCAAGCCTTAAACTTTCTCATTAACAGCAATGTGTGTTTGTTTTTAAAAATATTTTCAAGTATATCAACAAGTATTCATGTATAGAACCCATTCCAGGTATCATATATTCACATTTTACTGAATCATTTTGCTTTTTGTTCAGTAAGCAAAGACATGCTCTTCTGTCACAGTACCAAGCATTGAAATACATATTCGCTGCGCAGCTATGTGTTAACAGAAAGCCAACTTTCCAGTGCCTCCATGTTCTTTCGGTCGGTCCAATCATGGAAGTGGGTTCTGTCAGCTGATTGGCTAATTAAACCAGATGGTGTCATGTGAATCCATTCAGAAGTTTGTCCTTGCCACAATGCCAAGCTTTTCACCAAGTCCAACACACATTCATATTCTAAGATAGCTTTCAAACAGACAAGTATAAAGAAACAGGGTGAAATATAACCTCAATTTCAACTCAAAAAGTGGACACAATGCTGTACTTGCGCAAATTAAAAAACAGGAACTAATGCCTTTCTGGCCCTGTGGACTGAAACATGTAGGAACAAGCTTATACATATTTGGGGATGGATTATCATCTATATTTCAGGCAGCCATGCATGCCATCATGCTCCCCTCAAACAGGATCCCTCCCTATGACTTTTATGAACAGCTGTGATAACATTACTACTTAAATGTATATGGTGTTACAAGATGTAAGCAAACACAAGATGTGAGCAAACACTAGATGTAAAAAAGACACAGTACGTTTTTGTTGAAGATTTATGGAATAAAACATCCAAGGCCACATAAGAGAGTGGTATGGCTTTGCAGTGTGCTCTGAAATAAATGAAACATCTTCCTATTATGTAGTGTGAGGACTTGCAGACGATTGTTGCTGCAGTTCAAAGACGTGTGACCTTGTGGGGGATTAAGGAGAATGTTAAGGAACCATTTAGTGTTTGTTGAAACTGTGTGTGTGTGCGTATGTGTGCGTGTGTGTGCTCATTATTTGACAAGTTTATCATGCGTTTTGCATTCATGTGGAGTTCAGAAGGTTCACAGTATTTCCTCGGGAGGGCTGTCCTTGAATGTTTGCTCAAAATCAGTCGGATGCTTTTCCTGACAAAAATATAAAGTAATGTTATGCTGTCTTGTAAGTATTTTATTTTTGAAAGTTGTTGACTCGAACCACACACCAAAATTTGCAGATGAAATCAAAGTCTGAAATGTTGACATGAATATGAGTAGGAAAGTGGATTGGGGAGATCCGTCTCTCCCTCTTAGACCTGCCTGATGACAAGTTATGTAAAGCTTTGATTCAAGCTTGTTTTTAAGTTGAAAAGGATTTGAGGTCTGGACTTCATCCAATTGAATGATATAAGAAAAAAAGAAGAAACAAAAATAACCACCCACATGAACTTTAATCATGTTTTATCTGCCTTATCTCCTACAGGTTTCTCATAGTTCTGGCCTGTCTGATCCTCAGCGTTCTGTCTACCATCGACCAGTACCAGGCTCTGGCTCACACAACACTCTTCTGGGTGGTGAGTATTAATTTGTTTAAAAGCAACTATGGGATTAGCTGCAGAAACATTGTTCTTTCTGTGTCATTTCGGTCGTTTGTCAGAATGTATCTACCCAAACAGAGGTTTTAGAAAAGCAAAAGATGATTTTAATCCCAATGGGACAACCCTAACTCTCAGAGCTGAGAGCTGGGTTTTGAGTCAGATAGGCTAAAATGATTTATGCTGTAGGGAGAGGGCTTAAAACTAGAGATGTTATATCCCTGGTTAGACCACAAGGTGGCTTTATGATATTCATAGATGTTGCTGTTGTAGTGATTATGTATGGGGTAAGTTAGCTTGGTAAAAAACACGAGAATAAGTAAGTTCTTTAAATTTACTTAACTTTTTCTTTTATTGCCGGGAACGGTGCTTATTAATCGCCATTTTGTTTTACATTTCTCTGGCACCTGATTTGCATGTTGGCAGCCTGTCTTATTTTCTCCAGGACACACTGCAGCTGCAATCAGAATAAGCTCCTAAACATCAGGACATGATGTACTTTATCTATTATAATCAACTTCCATACAATACCAAACAGTAACCTAGCCATTGCATTATTCCCTAGACATTTAGAGTTATCAGGTTTCATTTAGATGTAAATGTATTTGTCTTTATTTTCTTTCTAACCTACTGTTTTCACTTACCTGTTCAACACTGCGGTACCACCAAGTGTGGGTACATTTGTCAAATGAAGTGCTTAATGATGCAATTCAATACAAATAGAGTAAAAACATGCATTCCAATAGTAGCAGGTATTCACAATGATAGTATTTAGCTGTGTTGCCAGAGATCAGGCTTTGTGGCTTCTGATAATTGTAGTTTTAACTTCATGTTTTGATGTTAGGTGAATAAGTCTTCCCACTTTATTCAATAGGACGATTATTCCAGTATCTGGTGGTTCTGACTGAAAATGCCGTTTGCTCTTTTGTGAACACAGTCCCCTCTGGTAGATGCCCTTGTTGCCCTGCTGCTATTATCCTTCTGCATTAAGAATTGACTAAATGTGGAAGTGCATGCCAATGTAAAACCTTGAAGACAGAACATTGAGAAACTATACTTCGAGGTAAATTCTTGACTAATTTGTATGCTGCTCTCCTGCAACTGCAGTCTGCGGATACATACCGGATCTCTGTTGTAGGGCAGACCATGGGTTATATAAAGTTTTATATAATAAGATACTTTTCTCCTTTTTAGACTCCTTACAAAATCAGCACTACCGAGATATTTTTTCTCAACTCATGCAATCAGAGATTGAAAGACTGGAATCTGAAAGTAATCCTTGCAGGAGCTAAGGAGAGTTTGAGAAAAAGAGAAGAATAGCTTTAACTCCAGCTCCACATCTAATGATACTCCCATAAAGGTGATATAGATCAGTGTAGCACTTGGACAAAACTACTGGTGTTACTGCATGTTAAAGGTCACCTATCATGATACTTGTATGCAATAGCAGAGGTCTCAGATATATAAAAATATATAAAAAAACATGTCTATGATGTGTTTTGCTCAAAACACCAAACAGATCACCCATTCTAGCCACACCTCATATCCCTCTAATTCACTTCCTGTTTCAAAAGTGCTGATTCTGGGTATAGAGCTTTAAAAAAAAAAATACAATTTAAAAAAAACGTATGCCTGCTCATGCGGGAGATTTCTAGGGATGAAATGTCATATCAAGTTCCTAACCACATCAAGGATTATTTCTGAAACAGTACGGAGCTCAAAGGCTTTTTCTCTTGCGGGTTTACCGCAAGGTGATTACCTTTTTTATTTCCTGCTTCTTCACACATGCTCTCCAGTACAGCTTAGCTCTGAGTGATAGCGATGCTTGCTAATGTAAACAAAGACCATATTACGTCCAAAACGTTGCGCATTGTTTATGATAGCAACGTTTCTGATAGTGCCGTGGGTCCACATTTCCGATATTACGTCATATCGGACGCAAATCTGGATCAGCTCCGTTGTACCCCCGTTTTTAGAGATGTGGGTACGGAGTTGCAAAGGGGTGGAAAGTTTCCGGAAAGTTTCCATGGGAATTTAAGCTGGGGAATTTTGGAAATATTCGATGCAAAATTAAACAAAAAAACATGAAATTTCAACAGATTTCTTTTTATTTTTTATTTTTTTTAAGTAGAACAGAACCAGTTTTAATTATTTTATTGAACAATTATTAGTTTAATTGAAGAACGAAAGCAGGGATGTTGAGTTAAATATTACTCATCCCCCCCAACCCCACTCATTAAAAAATGAACAAAAATGCACCCCCCATCCAAAGATCCCCACAAAGTCCCATTCAAAATGTTAAATGAAAAGAGCCCTTCTCCCTCCAAAAAGTCCCATTAAACTTTCCCTGGTACCGAGCTTTTTGGCCTCTTGGGACTGAGGTCATTCGTTCCACACTGCCAGAGCGGCACCGGCAGGTGGCGTGCTCACGGGGTGGCTCCCGGACTTGGATGGGTGACGTAGAAGGCCCCGCTCCAGCGGCTCCCTCCTCTCTAATTGTTCGGAGTAGGGGTTGCGCGACGCCTCGCCTCCGGCCTCGCCTTTCTTGTTTTTTTTGTGTGTTTTGTCATTGTTTTTTTTTTTTTTTGTCCTAGTTTGTTCATGTCAAATTTTTTATAATTCCCACAAATACAACAGCAACGACACCTGGAGAATTATGAACCTTTCACGGCAAATTAATGAAATTAGTCGGAATTAAAAGCATTAACAAATAGTTTTAAAATTCTGGCGCGCCCTGTGGCACCAACTTCTC